TGCCCGATGCGCAGGAAGGTGAGGCCGAAGGCTGGCCGGAGGGAGCCGGACCCGCCCGGCTCCAGCCACAGGCAGGGGACGCAGGGGACCCCGCGCCCCACGGTGCTCTCGGGTGCACTCACGGCAATGAGGTGAGAGAGCCCAGAAGTGGGAGCCGGCGGGCCTCAACTGTTCCGGGGCGCACTCTCCGGCAGGCCGAGGCGGGGGAGGAAGGCAGCATGGGCGGCCGAGCGCACCGAGTGTCGCTGGGGGACGCCTGGAGCCGGCGAGTGCACCCTGACTTAGAAACCGAGAGGCATGGGCAAGGCTTCGACGTGGAGCGGCTCACCCACCTCCTGGACGGAGGCGCCCAGAACACTGTGCTGCGGAGGGGAGTCGGCGCACTCTCCGGCAGGCCGAGGCGGGGGAGGAAGGCAGCATGGGCGGCCGAGCGCACCGAGTGTCGCTGGGGGACGCCTGGAGCCGGCGAGTGCACCCTGACTTAGAAACCGAGAGGCATGGGCAAGGCTTCGACGTGGAGCGGCTCACCCACCTCCTGGACGGAGGCGCCCAGAACACTGTGCTGCGGAGGGGAGTCGGTGAGACGACGCGTCTGCTGTGCGCCCACACTTTCCTTCTTTCTCTTTCTTCCTTAGTTGCTGTCTTGTTTTCAGTTCTGGGAACTGAACTCAAGGCCTTTGAACCGAGCTACATCCTCAGCCTTTTTTTTTTTTTTTTTAATTTCTTATTTTGAGACAAGACCTTGCTAAGGCATTATATTGCCCAGCTTGGGCCCAAAGTAGGGATCCCTCTGCCTCAGCCTCCCCATCATGGGGAATATAGGCATGCACCACCACGTCTGGCTCCCACATGCTTTCTTAGAAGAGGACTTTCCTAGCACTCCCATCTTCAAATAATTTGCCCTTGAGACTCTGCTGTTAGAAATTCATTCCTGTCCCCTGAGTCCATCTGAGGGAAAGAAGAGTCCTCGGTGGCAGCAGAGCTGGATCCTGGTCCTAATTCTGTCACCACACAGCTCTGTCCCCTTGGACAGGTCACAGTTCCCACCTGAGGCCGCAGAGGTCTCCTCTGTAAAATGGCAGTAAGGTCAGACTCCCGGGGGTGGGGGTGGGAAGGTGTGAAAGTGAGGAAGCTCCCGGGTCCCTAAGGCCGAATTCTCCCCTTCAGAAAGCCTCGTACAAGGTGACCCGGATTTCAGCCTCATCCACAATTACTTCATGACGCCGAATGAGCGCTACGAGGCCGCCATCCGGAGGAGAGTCCTGCTGCACAGGAAGGGACAGCGCCTGGGCTGGCTGGAGGACGGCCTGCAGTTCCACTACGCCTACAGGTGCTGGCCGGGCCATCTGGGCTCACTGCGGAGACCCAGCCCCATCCCCCCAGGCGGTTCACGGGAGAGAGGAGACCCGGGCCCTTCGGTCACAGCACCTGTCTCCCACAGAGCCATCTCTGGAGATGTGACTTTCGGTGTGCACGGCATCGCCACAAAAGCCATCCAGAGCCTGGGCTCGGAGGAGCAGATCGCTAAATGGGTCCCACTCTGCAAAACGTACCAGATCATCCTAACATACGCGCAGACGGAAATGGGACACGGTGAGCCAGGGCTGCTGCGCAGTGCTCGGGCTGTGCATTGCACAACTCCGGGGGCCCCTTTCATATCTCATAGATTTGTACATTAATTTGAAATCATCCTGTGCCCCCCCACCCCAGCGCTGGGATCGAACTCAGGACCTTGCACTTGCCATGCAGGCGCAGTGCCACTGAGCTAAATCCCCTGCCCTTTGAAAACACTCTAGCAGGTAGCAGTTAGGGACATTGAGGAAAGGGAATCCCTTTCTAATTTGGACAGATACACTGTATGAGCTCCCTGTGGGGCACGTAGCCACCAGCACGTGTGTGTGCGTCCCACACGGCCCACAGATGGAGAAAACACATGCGTGTGCAGCAGAACACTGACCCCTGCTCCACACGGCTGGCGCCTCAGAGGCCAGGCCCCCTGGGAGGCTCCTGCCCAGCAAGAGCCCACCTTGGCCAAATGCTCACTCCCCGCCTGATCCCCAGGGACCTACCTTCAGGGCCTGGAGACCGAAGCCACCTATGACACAGCCACCCAGGAGTTTGTCGTACACAGCCCTTCAATGAGTGCCATCAAGTGGTGGCCCGGAGACTGTGAGTATCTGGTGACGATGCCCCTTCCCTGTCTCTGGCCAAGGAGCAGACAGCTGGGGCAGAGCAGCCCCGGGCCGAAGCCAGCAGGTCCCAGGGTGACTTCCTGTTCTCAGCTGGTCACTCTGAGCCTGTCAGTTCACCTCCCTGAAACTGCGGAGATGTGGAGAGCATGGTGGGTGGCTGGGAAATACATAAGGGAATTCACCTGACCTTGGGCACACGCTGCCCCACAGACTCACCCGTGTGCATGTACACGACCCAGGCACACACGCTTGGCCTGGGCCCCGGCGTCCGCACAGCCCCAAGGGCTCTCGTCTCCTCAGTGAATGATCGCCGGGCACGGTGCTGTGACTGCACTCAGGGAGGACTCCCTCCAGCTCCCTGCCCTTGGTTTCCCATGGCAGCTCCCACCACGTGGCCACCAGGTGGCGCCACACCAAGCCTCTCTGCGGCTCGGTGAGGAAGGGGGACACCAAGCCCCTGGCCTTGGGCCGGAGAACTCCTTTCTGAGAACACCTGTGGCAGCCGGGGCCTCGGTCAGTAAATTCCAGTATGGAAAACAAATACGGCAAATGGAAGGGACCCAGTTCAAGAGGAAGAAGAGGGTCAAAGAGCGAGGGTCAGAGAGGTCGCAGAAGGAAAGGACAGGAGGAAGAGGGGAGAGGGAAGGGAAGGGAGACAGGCAGGCAGGATCAGAAATGTGAAGAAAGGAAGCCAGCCTTTAACATCAGGCAGACCAGGGCTCGCGTCTGCCGTCTCTACACCCGGGTCCTGCCTGTCATTCCGCTTTCTGAGCCTCACTTTCCTTGTCTGGAAAATGAGACTTTACCACCTTGCGAGAACTGGAAAACATCGGTCCAGGTATGGGGGCCACCTGGACTTTGATGAATGGCGTCTGTATTCATCATTGTTATGAGTTCGATGGCAGAGTGATTCATTAGTAGTTTTGGTAAGGAGCAAAATCCCTTAAAACCTTGCTCATTTCTCGGATCCTTTGCCAAGCCACTGTTGGTCTGGTCTAGTCATTTGGGGGTGAGTCCTCCTTTCTGCTGTCTGAAGCCTCAAAGTTGCCCCTCAGGGAGCCCCAGCCATGGAGTCTGGGTTGGGGACGGCAGTGCACTAGCCGTTCTGTAATAGGCTCTCATCTGTCTGCCCTCAGTGGGACGGTCGGCCACCCATGCCCTCGTCATGGCACAGCTGGTGTGCTCGGGAACGAGGCAGGGCATACATGCCTTTCTGGTGCCCATCCGGTGCCTCAAGGAACACAGCCTGCTGCCAGGTAAGCCACGATTCACCCTCAGCAACCCGGGGCCCCGAGGGCGGGCTCCAGTTGGAGCTAGGGTGAGTCCGTGGTATTCTCAGCGCCATCTCCTTCTAGGAGTCACCGCTGGGAGCATCGGACCCACCATGGACTTGGACCACGCAGACAATGGCTTCCTGCGCCTGGACCGTGTGCGCGTCCCTAGGGAGAACATGCTGAATCGCTTTGCACAGGTCAGGGCCTGGACCGTGGGGGGGTGGTCTGCCCAGGGTGCCACCGGCTCTGGGTCCTCCTCCGTGCCCCTGAGTTTGGGCCACAACTCCCAGAGAAGCTCTGGTACCCCACAGACCAGAGGCGAAGCCCAGCTTGGGAGCAGTGTGGCCTTGGAGTGTCACTTTGCCTCTCTGAGCCTCAGGCTTTCCCTGTGGAAAGGCTCGTCATCCGGGATGGGACAGTAGCTGTGGGTTGGGCTGGCACGGTGCCCTAGAAGGGAGGGGGCCGAGGGCAGGAGCCTGGGCCTCCCCGCTGTGCTGGGCTTTCCCTATTCAGCTGCCAATCAAGGGGAAGTTGAGTGTCTTGCAGCAAAGCAGCAGTGAGCCAGGACACTGGGGACCTGGCAAGGTAGCAGCAGTGCAGCGTCTCATGTTTTCGTGCCCGCTGCAGCCACAGCTGCAGGCTCCTGAGGAGCAGGGGGAAGACGGAGCACGGAGCCCCCAGCTGGGGACCTCGGTGCCAGCCCCGGCCCACAGCCTGTCTTTGTTTCACACAGGTCTTGCCAGATGGCACCTACATCAGATTCGGGACAGCGCAAAGCAACTACCTGTCCATGGTGGTGTCGCGCGTGGACGTCCTGGTGAATGGGGTCCTGCCCACCCTGCAGAAGGCCTGTGTCATTGCCATGCGCTACTCCGTCATCCGCCGCCAGTCCCGGCTCCGGCCCAGGTAAGGTAAGGGGCACCCGGGCGCTGGTCACACAGACGTGGCTAGGGCCCAGCCCCCGGAGCCTGCTCCCTCACAGGCCTCTCTGCCAGCGACAGAGCTGGGTGCTGCAAGCGGGCGCCATCCCGCCCCTCAGATCTGGTCTGTCTGGCCGTGACGGTGGGGTGCCTCTCTGCTCCCCCACATTGCCAGCCTGTTTCTGTCAGTGTCTGGCCGAGGGCACCTTTCCCAGAGGACAGGGAGAAGGTGCTGCCCTGCTGCACCCCAGCTGGCTGGGTGGCAGAGCTGTCCTGAGGACAAGACACGCCTGCAAGGAGCTGTACCCAGAGAGGTCCCAGGTTCCCATCGGCCGCGGAAGCTTCTCACAGCCACACCCCACCCCCTAGTTTCCCAACCTTGACAGTCCCAGACAGTGGGGACGGTGGACAAGCACACGTGTCCCTTCCTTGGGTTCCCTGGGCCAGTTGTGTAGTGACATGCGGCCGACCACACAGCCAGTGTGTGTAGGTACAGAGGCTCAGGGGTGTGGTGCCGCCACCCTCCACCCGATCCTGGGGTCCAGATGTGTTGGACTTCAGGACTTTTCAGATTTTAGGGTACCGTGGTACTGTACGCTGTCATTTTGTAATCCTTTCCACGTGACGCAGCACCTACAAGGAAGAAGCGTGCTGATATTTCTGTAGTGAGATGGTGTGGATGTTCATGTTAGATAAGACTTCAGGCTGGGCATGGTGGCACATGCCCGTGATCCCAGCACTTGGGAGGCTGAGGCAGAAGGATCGCCACTAGTCCGAGGCCAACCTGGGCTACACAGTGAGTTCAAGGCCAGCCTGAACCACACAGCAAGACCCTGTCTCAAAACAAATAAACAGAAAGACTTCAGAAGATTTTTTTTTTTTGGTACTAAGGATCGAACTTGGGTCCTTGTGCTTGTGAGGCAGGCGGCAGAACCACTGACCTAAATCCCCAGCCCCAGAAGATTAATAGCCTCATGCTACCTTTGTAATGAGTTCTAAGGAACTTCCAGGATTCAAAGCGCTTATGTGTTGGGGGTATGAGAAGGTGCATGTGGCACGTAGCAATCTTGCAAATCCTCTGCTTCTTTTCCTCTTAGTGACCCAGAGGCGAAAATCCTCAACTACCAGACCCAGCAGCAGAAACTCTTCTTCCCACTGGCCATGAGCTATGCCTTCCATTTCCAGCTGGCCAGCCTCCAGGAATTCTTCCGCCATTCCTACAACACCATCCTGAACAAAGACGTCAGCCTCCTCCCTGAGGTAACCACAGCGTGCTGGCGAGCAGCTGGCACTGGTGGCCAAGACTGCTGTAACCACCGGGCCCTCTCCTCTGCCTCTGGTGGATTTCTCAGGGCAGCGGTGAACTGGCCCCTGACCCGGAAGCCACCCACACCTGACCCCAGAGAGTATTAGCGGAGATGCTGCAGTACAGAAAAAAAAAGCCGCAATCCCTGATGTGTATTTGAGACCCAAAAAGCTCTGAAAACCACATCTCCTTTGGAACTCACAGGTAGCACAGTGTAACCTAGACTGAACTGATCTGGTCTATTCCACTGAGCACAGATGCAGCAGAAACAGTGACATGTTCCCTAAAGCCTCCCCAAAGCCCACTGTGGATATTGTATATAATAAGCCTAAAATGCCCTGCTTTGCCTTCCTAAAATCCAAAAGCCATTCTGATTCCAAAGCCCGCCTGGCTCACAGGCGTCTGATAAGACTAGTGTGGACTGACACAGCCACTGAGGTCCCTCTGCCCAGGCCCGACACTTCCTAAGCACTGCTCCGTGAATACTGCCAGCTGTGTAGCAGGTACCGTTTACATCGCCATTCTACAGGTGAGAATACTGAGACACAAAGGGTAAAGGGGTGAGACCTTCCACCCGAGGGCTTACTACCGCCTGCTTTATCTGCTGAGTTATATTTTCCATGAGCCCCCCCAAAGCACCTCATTGATCCGATTCTTAACCTGTTGTCCTTTCAAATCCCTCAGCGTGACTTCTGCTTTATTCTCCCTTGGTGCCCCATGGATTGGCTTTGGGGGAGTTAGGAATGGCGCGAGGCACTTCGTTGCCTTGTCTGCTCATGTTTCTATAGTTTTTTCTGTGTTTTGTGCTTAGGTTTGTGGCCATTTACAGTGGAAAGACTATATTGCTAGTGCAGATGTCTTTAGTCGTCTGCTTTTCAGGGACACAGAGGGTCCCAAGATCCCATCGCCTCTGTTAATGAGAGGGGATGTAGTGTCATTGGCTCTGGGAAGGGACCACAGTGCTGTTAATGATACAGAGGTCACATGGGCACCGGCATTACAGAGAAAACCTGTTAATAGCAACAACCGTCCCACCCCGGGAATATCAAGTGAGGAACAGTGGCATCATCCAAGACCAACTGAGTGCTGACACACGACAAGAGTCGAAAAGATTCCCACCCATAACTTGTGGAATAAACCCTAGGACAGAAAATAAACAAGATAAAACAAAAGAACAGAAAACACCCTCAGACAAACCAGGTATTGACATACATACTACTGAATGCAACGGACTGTACCTCTGCTAAAGACAGAAAGGGATTCAACTAGTGACACAGAATTAACTATCTAAAGATCAATACATAGTGAGACCCTGTCTTAAAAAAAAAAGAACGAAACCCAGGAATTTATTCCTCACAGCTCTGGAGACTTTCCAGCCTCTAGCATGGTTCCACCCCGTGGGAAGTGGCAGAGGGCATCACAGGTGAGGGAGCACTTGAGAAAGCACTGGGAAGGGCTCACGCCCCAGTAACAGCCTTAGTAGGGCTTCAAGTCAAGCTCCACCTGCTACTAGTGAGCCCAGAGTTCGGCCTGAGTTTAGAGCACAGCACCCCCAATCCTGCTCGTGAAGGTTTCACCCCCGACCCATCTCCTCCTGAGGCCCCCGGCTCCTGACAGCATTACTCTGCAGGTCAGGATTTCAAGTCAAACTTTGAGGGAACACAGTCAGCCCGCGGGGGGCCGAGGGATGTGGGGTGCTCTCCTCACGGGCAGCTCCCCAAGACCTCTGCTTGCTGGCCAAGTGTGTCACTCCAGGGGGGCGGTGGGCGCCGTCCAGGCAGCACTCTCCAGGCAGACAGGACGCTGGCCAGGACAACAGTACAGCGTGTGGCTTGGCTCTCGGGGGAAGCCTGAGTCTTGGCCTCCTCATTGCTGCTGCGAGCTGAGTAAACCCAGACCCCACTGAGCAGGGCTCACAGGCAGTAATCGCAGGGTCGGGAGCGTGTCTGTCGCTGCAAATCCTTACCAGGCCGGCCCCTCACCCTCCAGCTGCACGCACTGACCACCGGCGCAAAGGCCATGATAACCGACTTCTGCACCCACGGGGCCGAGCTGTGCCGCAGAGCCTGTGGAGGACATGGCTACTCCAAGCTGAGTGGCCTGCCATCCCTGGTCACCCAGCTGGTGGCCTCCTGCACCTATGAGGGCGAGAACACAGTGCTCTACCTGCAGCTGGCCAGGTAAGGCCCAGAGTGACACGGGATCGCCCAGCCCCCAGGAGACTCCTGGGCTCCTGCTGGGCTCAGGCCTGGGGAAGCGCTGGCTGGGGCTGCCTCAGCCCACTGCCCTGGCCCACTGCTGCTCTCTGATGGGCCACCGCCTCTCACCTGGACACCGGTCTCCTCACGGGTGTCCTGCGGCTTTGTTGTTGTGGTTGCTGTTGTTGTTTTGGGGTTGTTTTTTTTATTGTCTTGTTTGAGACAGCGTCTCACCATATAGTTCAGGCTGGCCTTGAACTCAGTTTGTAGCATAAGATGACCTTGAACTTGCAGGGATCTTCCTGCCTCAGCCTCCCAGTGCTAAGACTACAGGTGTGCGTCACCATTCCCAGTTTAATCTCCTGCTTCTACCCTAACCCATGTCTCCCTAGGCAGCAGAGGAATCTTTTCAAAACCTAAAGAAAATCATACCTTTCTGTCATTAAAGTGTTCCCTGGACCCCCACTGCTCAAAGGCAAATCCTGCCCTCTACATCATGGCCCACATGGCTGTGTAGTTGCTGGCATGTTTTGCTTTACCTGTTCAGCTGTGCTCCCCAGCTACACCAGGAGCTTGAGGGCAGGGAACACACCTGCCTTGCTCAGCCCAGTATCCGAGGCTTAACACAGAGCCTACACGAAAGGCTCCAAGCCAGGCCTGGGGGTGCATGCCTGTGATCCTAGCCCTGTGGCAGGCTGAGGCACGAGGGTCACAAGTTCGAGCCCAGCCTGGCTCTCAAAATAAGATAAAACAAGCTGGGGGGTGCGGCTCAGTGAGTAGACCCAGGTCCAGCCCAGTACCAAAGGGGGCAGGGCAAACCTGAAGGAAGGGAGGAAGGACATCCTCGTTCAGTGTCACCTTGGGTGAGCACTGTCCCATCTGGAGGTGAGGGGACGCTGATTCTGGAGCATCACATGGCAGAGCTGCATGGGCATCTGGAGTTGCTGGAGCCCATGGTCTATAACCAGCACTGTGGGGAAGCAGCAGGTCCCCGTCACCCCCACTTGGGCCAGCGCGCCTCACCTGTGCTCTGCTCTCGGCTTAGGAAGTCTGCTTTCCGGCCACTACACAACTCACCATAAAACTGACAGAAAAGATCCTGTCCCCACGGTCTCCACAGGGTTCTGCTCAGAAAGGCAGGGCCTCTGCCCCAGGGGAACACGGACATGGGGCCCTGTCTGAGCACATGCGCCTCTGGGGTGTCTCACTGCTTCCTCCCTCACACCCCAGGTTTCTGGTGAAGAACTACCAGCGAGCTCAGCAGGCCGTGGGCCCCACATCACAGAAGTCTCTCCCTCAGTCTGTCGCGTATCTCACCCTGCCTCACCTGGCCAAGTGCCCCGCCCAGGGGGCAGCTGACTTCCTCTGCCCAGAGCTCTATACCGTGGCCTGGGCACACATGGCAACCAGGTGAGCAAGGATGGAAAATCAGCAAACCCCAAGACCTCCTTCTCTGTACTCTTCTGAAAACCACTCCCGCCCCTGGCCACCCCTGGCCGCCCCTGGCCTCACAGCTCCTCCTGCCGTGGTAGAGAAGGGGCCGTCTCCTCCATCAGCCACGGACTACCATCATTTCAGGATCTCGGTCTCAGGGATGGAAGGGATCGCCTCTCTAGCCCGTGATGGGAAGTTTTCAGGTCATTAGCTTCCGAGGGTAATTTGCAATACAACACATGTGCCCATATGTAAATACTACAAATGTATCGGTATCAAATACCAATTAGTGGGTCAGGGATTTAGCTTGATGGTTCCGCCACCTGCTTCACCAGCTCAAGGTCCCGAGTTCGATCTCTGGTACCAAAAAGTAAAAAAACCTCAAAAACTACCAATTAGTAAAGCAATACCTCTGAGTTTGAAATACCCCAGAATCTAAAAATAGTTTTCAAAACAGCTGGCGATGCCACAGAGTAGAATTCATTTCCCGGGTCTGCTAGGCTCAGGGCACACAGGCAAACCCAAACATAAACAAACAAACATGCTAGGGGCTAAGAATAAAAAGAAACCCTAGTCCAAATAGACACTGTTGTAGAAAGGAGCCTTCTGAAGTGTGCCCAAACTTAAAACACCAAAAATAAACTGGAGGGAAAAAGCCATTTTCACTGTAGAATAAGAGGTTGTATAACCCAACCTGTGGCCCTAGGGATGACTAATGGTTATGTAGAGATTACAGGCAACTTGAGACGTTTATTTACTTCACAAATATTTACGTGGTACAATATGCCAGACACTGTTCTGAGAGGTAGGGATCAGTCAGTGAACCGGCCTGATAAAACCCCCAGGCCTCACAGGGCTAACATTTCACTTAGGGGAGGTGAAAGGGGAAGATAAGACTGATGAGAAATTAAAATGCTATTTCCCACATCTTCGCTTGGAACTAACTCACTGTGACGTCTACTCATCTGCCCCCTGACAGGGTGAAATAAATATTGCTTAATGAACAGTTTGTTTTACGTACAAATTCCAAGAGTCATGGAGGGAACAGAAAATACAAGACATTAAAGATAAAAAGGACAACAAATGACTAACTTAGCGTTTTGCAGGACAAGAGTTAGGTGCTTTAGGTAGAACTCATAGCAGGCCTCACTGGCCTTTCAGTAACAACCCCATTCCTGCTCAGGCCAAAGGAAGCCACTCACCAGGATGGCCAGAAAACAGTGGTTCTCAGGATGGAATGTGCATAAGAAAGAGGGTCAGCTCCTGGCCTAAGGGTCTAAAACACAGTAGTAAGAACAAATCCAAATTCTGGCTCCTTCCTTACTAGCTGCGTGACTGGGCAGTTCGGTGCGCCTCTCTGGGACTCAGCTTTCCCCACTGTCTGCGTGACTGGGCAGTTCGGTGCGCCTCTCTGGGACTCAGCTTTCCCCACTGACTGGGACCACCTGCCCTGAAGGGAGTCGTGTTTACCAGGCATTTAGCTCTGCCACATGAGTGCTCAGTAGAGAGAAAGCGTTTGTTTCTGCGGGACTCACGGCCAGCCCGCCCGTCGGTTAACTTTCACGCTCACTGTAAGCTGCCTTTCGTCTTTGGCTCTAGGCTCATACAGGACGCCGTGCATCATTTGCAGACACTGGTACAGTCGGGGGCTGAGCAGCACGAGGCCTGGGACCAGACAGGCGCCATCCTCCTCCAGGCGGCTAAGGTGAGCTGCTTTGTCTCCCACACAGGCCACCACGCTGGGAGAATCCCGGCTCTGCTATTCTCTCTGCCCTGTTCTGCAGCCGCTGCCCTCATTTCATGGCCAAGGCTTTAGTCCAGGGTATTTTAATTAAAGGACTTAACGCCAAAGCAATCTTGCTGGCAGCTCTGAGGGGAAAAGGTAATGAGGCAGTGTTACTGCGTTTGCTTCAGGTTGTTCAAATATTTCCTCGCAGATAGAAAAAGCAGGTCATGTCTGGTGCAGTTTTCACTGTGTTTTGTGCTTGTGCATAATTGCAGTCGGTCAGCACATTCTAAACCAGCCCTGGGCCAGGTGCTCACTAGTGAAGCCACTGGCCGTACCCAGCCTACAACCAAGAAAGCACTCAGACAGGGAAATAGAGGCTGCTGTGGGCCCCCAGGGTCAGGTACATGTCTGCTCACTCAAGAGTCGGGAGGGCTTCCCAGAAGTGCCCCGTAGGTCAAGGAGGTGTCAAGGAAATGCTGAAATTAGCTGGCTGAAGGGTCAGATGGCAGCTTTGGTGAGAAAAGTTTCCAAGCAAAGGGAGCAGCAGATACAAAAGAGGAGGCAGGATAAGGCCTGGTACTTGGGAGGCAACTGCAGTCCTCCCAAGTGGGCATTTAAGGAGGAAAACTAAAGCAAGGAAAAGAAGGGCAGGCAGGGGAGAAAAGAGGCAAGATCTGGACTCCTCTGCACCACTGTGGGAAGCAGGGATCTGGTTTTCATTGCAACAGGAAGCCTCTGCTGGGTTTCTGTCCGGAGAGTGACAGTGATCAGCAGGCTGGGGATGTAGCTCAGTGGTACTGTGCCTGGCTGGCAAGGTCCTGAGTTCAATCCCTGGTACCAAAAAAGAAAAAGAAAGAAAGTGATCCGCATTTCATTCCAGAAGAATCATGCGAGCTGCAGGGGAGGAGGGGAATGGAGGTGGAGGCCAGTCGGCAGCAGCTGCTGGCGAGGACTCAGGGCGGTCCCCACTGTGAGCTTCACAGAGGACATGGGGAGAAGTGGGTAGATGCGAGACACTGAGGGGCAGAAGGAAGCGACGAGCCTTAGAGTCGTGGGTGAGCAGGAGGTGGGAGTGGATCACATGGTCAAACCCAGCCTGGGCAATTTAGTGAAATGCTATCTCAGAATTTAAAAATGGGCTGGGGAGATAGCTCAGTGCTAAGGCCTTGGGTTCACGACCGAGTACCACAAAGAGGTAAAAAGCCTCCTGAGCTTAGGTAGCTGGGACACTGGCCCTGCCCACAGTGGAAAAGCCAATGGGATCATTCCATTCCGCAGGCCTCAGGCCCAGATAATAACAGCCTCCCACAGGAGAGCCCCGAGAGGTGTGCAGAGGCCCCGCTAGGGCAAGACTGGGCAGGCAGGAGTGCCACCTGGTAATCCACGCCACTGGGGCTGCCTGAACTCTGCATTTAGGGGCACCCACTCTCTGCTACAATAACGTCCCAATACCAAGGGTGAACCAAGGAACCCTGGTCACCTACTCTTCATCTGTGAGTTTCCAAACCTCTGCCTTGCCCTCATTTAGTACACACACCCCTGCCAGGGAAGCCAGCAGAAGCTCCTTTCAGAGGGTCAGGACAGCGCACCTAGAGAAGGGATGGAGCCCTCCTTCCCTGCACACCTCCGAGGCAAGTGGTGTGCTCCGGCTCTGGCAGCTTTGGTCACAGACAGGAAGGGTGATTTTGTGAGAGCAGTGCTTGAGCAATTTCCCAGTCACAGTGGGTAGGGCCTTGTCTTTCTGTGACCATAAGTGCAGGTAAGCAATGTCTGCACCTGGGCTGGAGGAGCAGTGCTGGCCTGACGGTGGGTGAGGAAAAGCCATGGGCTGTGTTGCAGCCTCAGCTTCGTGTGTGTCTCCCTAGTCTGTCACTCAGGGGGACAGGGAGAGAAGCATGGCTCTGAAAGCCTGTGGGCCTCTGAGCTCAGGCTCCAACAGGAGGAACCCCAGTCCCCACAAATGCTGGGCTTGTGCTAATCTGCCTCAGTCCCTACTGGCTTTGCTAGCAGAGGTACAGCCCTGGTTTGGATCTCCTTTCAACCACTTACTACCACGTGACCTTGGACAGAGAACTTCGCATCTCAGCCTCAATCTCTTCATCTGAAAAAATGGAGCTAACAGCATAACAGCGTGTGTAGAGCAGAAAAAGCAGGGCCTCCAGGGCAAGTGGGAGTCTCCAATGTTGCTATCCTTGACCCAGTTTGAGCACCAAAGGCTGTTTGGGCCAGCAAGGGCAGCACCTCACACATGCTCAGCTTCACACCCAGCACAGGGCAAGGCCCTGGGTGTGCTGGCAAAGTGGAGTTGTTACCACCTGTGAGACTCCCTGGGGAAAGGCAGGTTCTCTCCAGACAACAAGCTTGACTGCTTACTGCCCTGCTGGGGTCTATGATCACTCCCGACCTCTGCAGAACACAATCCTAACCAGACCTGTCATAGCCCTTGATCACCCTGGGCTCCACTGCAGGCCCATCCAGACCTCCATGGCTCCCCATCACCTCCAATGCCCCAGTGCTTGGGCCTCATAAAGATGCCTCAGCTTCCTGAGGTACAGCCTTGTCGATAAAGTTCCGCCACTTCAGTGACCTTTCCTTTATCCCTAGTGCCCCTTCCTGAGCTCTTCTGAACCCCAAGACACTCTAGACCTATGATGGTGAACCTTTTAGAGCTTTCAATGATACAGACAGCTCACTTCGGCACACAGGTTCACCACCACTGCTCCAGACCTTGCTACTTAGTCAGCCCCAGCAGTCTGGGCTTCACAGAGAAGCATGTTAGAAATGCACACTCGGGCCCTACCTTGGAATCTGCATTTTGACAAAATGTCCAGGCAATCTGTATGCACATAAAAATTTAAGAAGCACTACTTTATTTCCCATCTTCCTCCCCCTCCTCTATCTCCCCTCTGTCCTTTAAGGAACTCAAATACCTTACCTGAGAAGACAATTACATGCATTTGTGTTACCCGGAGGGGAAATATTCAAAAATACTTAAAAACCAATAGGGCAAGAAAAGCAGGACCCAGAAAGCTCTTGCTGAACCAGGCATTAATCCTTCAGTTGCTGGGCTGAGGAGAAGAGAAGGAGGCCCTGGGGAGGGAGCCCATCTGGAAGGGCTGTAACTGGGCTGATGACATGGTCATTCACAACCAGGACCAAATGATTATTTTACCAACTGACAGAGCCAGACCATTGCCTGTGGGCTAAATAATAGCATCGCTTACTTCCAGGAGTTTATTTCACTGGGATAAATTTCATATACACTTGAACCCCTACGTTCTCACCCCCATGCACACATGTGTGTGTACACGCATGCGCACCACTGCTTTGATGTGGCAGATGATAAATAGCTGTTATTTTTTAGAAAAGTGGTGCTGTCCTCTGTGTCCCCTGCATGCTCTCTCCACTTTCGAACCTACTTGAAACTTCCCCAAGCAAAATGAGGGAACCAAAGGCCAATTCCTGAGCCCACCAGCCCCCATCACACGTGCGCGCACATGCGTACACACACACAAACACACACACACTCACTCCCCCACTAAAGAAAAGGCTCAATCAGCCCCGAGTGAGCTGAGAGAAAAGATGGCTGCTTGTCGGCCCACTGAGAAACACAGGCTGCAGCAGGTTACTCCAGCAAGCTTGCCGGGCTCCCAGGGTGTCTGGAGGAGTTGGAATCCGAATCAGCGGCTCCCACACCTTTGTGTCTTTGTAGGCGCACTGCTACTATCTCACTGTGAAGAATTTTAAGGAGGCTCTGGAAAAACTAGACAGTGAGCCCGCGATTCAGCAGGTGCTCAAGCGCCTCTGTGACCTCTTTGCCTTACACGGCATCTTGACTAACTCGGGAGACTTTCTGTATGACGGCTTCCTGTCTGGCCCCCAAGTGAACATGGTCAGAACGGCCTACCTGGACCTGCTGCCCCTGATCCGGTGAGTGGTTGGGTCTCAAACCATGAGAGCCTTCAGGGAACCCCAGGCCCTGGGACACAGTATTAATGTTACCGCAACTGAACTCTTCACACTGTCGAGGAAAGTGAGCAGTGTCTGAAGGATGTGAGTAACGCGAAGCCTGCTGCACAGGAGCACTGGCTGTGGATGACAGTTTAATTAAGCATAGCTAACGCTTAGAGGACACAGTGCCAGGAACTGTGCCAGAAGCTTTTACATACATCATCTCACTTAATCCCTGTAGCCCTTTCAGTTGGACTTAATGCCTTTCTTTTACTGAGGAGAAAAATTCAAGCTTATGGGAATTAACTTGCTCAGAACTGCAGCTATCCAGAGGAGGACTTGGTCACAGCCTCAGGCCCATCTGACCTTGAGCACGTACCCTAACCTGTACTCTAAGGCTGATGTCTTATTTTATACCCAGCTCTGTCTGTTTGAATGCACTTAAGGAAATTCTTACCAGGATTAGTAGACTTACTTTAATATTCCCTTAGTTTCAAGATGAAATTTTTGAAACTTCAGTAATTCGTATATTGATTTGTAAAGCAATAATACAAAGACTTTTCAAATATGGCATCGATGCAGTAGAATTTAGAGTCATGAAATACTAATGCAATGCTTTCATCCTGTTATTTTATACATAATTTAAATATTGCTTTAAAAACATATCAAAGCCAAAGCCCAGCCTGACCATGAAGTGACAGAAATTAAAACAATACAAATTATTTACCATTATTAATAAGACTTTAAAAATAGGTTACCCTGAGAACACAACCTTTTTAAGACCTCACCTGGCAGAAAATAGGATGCCTTTCCCACTGGGTAGAGGTGGGTGACTTTTCCCATAAAACCTCCAACTATTCTCTATATCAGCAATGCTAAGAGAATAAAAAGGAAAACAATTGAAATTTTTATAAAAACAGGATTTTCACAATGGAGATATACAGAGCAAATTACTTTTATATCTAACAATATATATTACATGACTTTCATGACCACATATAAGCATCTAACAGCCAATTGGTAGCTAGTTTGTTCAATTAAATCATCAAAACAGTCAGAAATATATATGATACAATTGTGCCCCTGCTCTTCAGCTTTCCCTACCACAGGGAGGACGGTAGTGGAACCATTAGAACAGAATGAAGTACTGCATAATCCAGCTCAAGCCTCTTTCTGAAACTTGCCGTTTTAAAGGCACATGAAGAAAATGACGTTCAAACCGTGACTGGCATTGATAGTAAAGTCCTAAAAATCACCTTACTGTCTCATAAGCGTGGGATTTTTTTAAATCTGCAAACCACATTTTTAAGTGTTTGCTCCAGAGGAGGACTTACAACTTGAGCCAAGGCAGATAGCACTGATAAAAGCCTCCAGCTTATGCATACACCAAACCCACAAATTGATTTACTTACTTTATGATTCCTAAGTGACCTTACTGCTGCAGGGTAATTGGGATGTAACAGATTCCATGCTTTTAATGCTTCCGTGTCACAGTCCCTGGCCTCAATTAGTCATTATTTCCCTCAGATTTCTGGGGTGACAAATGAAGGGCAGCACACTCTTCTAAGTGACACCAAGAACCAGCCCTTTCTGATGTTAATAAGCTGGCCCAAACAGGGTTTTCAGCTGAAACCTCAGCTGGGGGGCTTCGAGGTAAAGAGAGGGAACCTGACTGATTTAGTAAATGGGTTAGAATTACTTAAAAGGCATCAACCCTCAAAGAGAAAGAGAGCAGAAGAAACATGCAAGTTGAAGGGTTATTGAGAGGCAGTGACTTGGCAGACAAGTTCCAGCCAAGAACTCCAGGAGCCAGCAGCAGTGTACACCTCTGGCAGTGGGGACAAAGGTGAGATGGTCCCTTAGGTTGAAAGTCCAGCTCCAAAGAAGTTGAATCCCCATTGGATTTTCCTTGACCCTGCGCTGATGAAAGGGTAAACAGAGGGTCTGTGGACTAGGGAACATAGACCTGCCTGTATAAATAAGTATAAGGCTGCCCTATAGAAAACAGGAGGCTTTACAGGCCAAATGCTTATCCTTCTGTCTCTGAGCACTGTTTTCTACTCGAACAGTGGCAACCAGGCGCTAGCACCCCGTAAGATGACACAGTGAGCCTTCTGTGGAGAATCTGAGAGACCATAGCCCCTAACAGTCCACCCAGCTCATCCCACAGTGAACCCCACTAGCATGACTCAGGTATTACTTGGCTAGCTAATGCCCTGCTTAGCTCTAATCAGACACTGGAATCTCCAGATCCTGAGGGAAGCACCTACCACAAAAAATGGAGATCAAAGTAAGCAAGAACAGGACAACTTG